GCTTTTAGTATCCTCAGAAAGACAGTGGGGGAAATCAACCGTCTGTGTGGCGTACATCTCTCTCCCAGATCTTGGTGTTATCTTAGATCCTATTATCCAGGGAACTGGAGCAGGGATGGGACCTAGACCCTTCAGTACAGTAAACTAACTGCTGTCAATTTATAGGTGACTTATGGTGACCTCGTAGGGTTTCCAAGGCAAGAGGAGAACAGAAGTGGTTTGCCATTCCTTGCCTCTGTGAAGCAACCCTGGATTTCCTTGGTGGTCTCCCATCCATGTGTTAACCAGGGCTGGCCCTGCTTAGCTTCTGAGATAGGTCTAGCCTGAGCCGTTCAGGTCAGGACCCCCTCCTATACGCTTCACCTGTAAGTTACAACCTCTCCTACAGGATACTGCATTAGATGGACTTGTCTAATGTTCGGACATTCCAACAGAAACTTCTACACAGTACATTTCTCATTTGGTGTCGTGGTTAAAAGCTGCAGACTCTAATCTGGAGAACCGGGTTTGATTCCCCATTCCTTCACTTGAAGCCAGCTGGGTGACCTTGGGTCAGTCACAGTCCTCTCAGCAAAACATGAACAAAGCCTAGCTCGCCGCAAAAAGAGCTAGAGTCTCAGGCTGGAATCCTGGATATAGAAATGCAAAAACTAGTTAGCGATGCAAACAAAGCCTGCTCCCCCTTGAATTTCGGAATCCTTCCAACTATTGGCCATCTGCCTTCGCACTTATCAGCCCTTCACGCTCCACAATTGCGCTGAGCATTTGCACTTGCTAGATGCAATACTCTTCCATCTGCTGTTACCTATGGTAGATATAAAGGGGTTCCATACTCAGCTAGACGCTGTGCGTGTAATCAAAACGAAGTTGACTCGGTGAGATGAGATACGTCTTACCTTTTTAGATCCAATCTTATTTAATATGATAGGCTGTCCAGATGCTTTTAAGGTGCGCTACCTCTTGAATGATTTGTCACCCGAAATAACTGAAAATGTAGCCTCTTTTTTAAGTTTGGTAATCAAGGACCGTCTGCACAACGTATAGATGCATATGATTGATTCATTTCTCCTTGTTACCTATTTATCCACTTTTGTTTCTTCCTGTAACCTAACATATGCCAATAAAGGTCTGTGTATGTATATGTATGTATGTGAGTTTCAGGCTGCCAAACAATCTTCGGCTCTCCTGGCTATACTACACCCACTGCTGTACGATAATTAATTAATTAATTCTCGTATCTCTCTTGCAGGCTCTAGGGTCTCTGAATCCGTGCCAGGGAACCGGGCTGAGCTGCGGCTCTCAGGGCTACAACTGGACACGGAATATCGGGCCAGCGTCTACGGGGAGAAGGAAGGAAACCGTAGTTCGCCAGTCAGCGCCACTTTCACCACTGGTACGTGGGTGGGACTGAGGAGGAGGTGGGGAGCCAGTTTGGTGCAGTGGTTAAGTGTGCAGACTCTAATCTGGGAGAACCGGGTTTGATTCCCCACTCCTCCACTTGCAGCTGCTGGATGACCTTGGGCAAGCCATAGTTCTGACTAGAGCTGTCCTTGAAAGGGCAGTTCTTGAAAAGAGCTCTCTCAGCCCCACCTACCTCACAGGATGTCTGTTGTGGGGAGGGGAAGGGAAAGGAGTTTGTAAGCCGCTCTGAGACTCTGGGTGAAGCGCAGGGTATAAATCCAATCTCCTCTTCTTCTTCTTCCTCATTCAGCAAGGTGGTGAAGGGAAGCAGTCACTGGAGGGTAGAGCTAACGTGGATTTGTGAGAGGAAAATCTCTCAGTCGGATTCTCCTTACTTCAGATAACGTTACTGAAATTGGATGTGTGTCTCACTAGTTCATACTGTTTTCCAGCATTCCCAATAGCCTCCATAAAGTGCTGGACTTTGGTCTGACTCGGAAAAGTCATTTCATGAATTCTCCAAGTTTACAGTGCTGAAGGAGGGGCAAGGCATTGCTGCACTGTGAGGGAGACAAGTGAAGGAATCACACGAGACAGCTCTCTTGAGGGTAGAGAAATCTGTCTGCCTTTCAAGGCAGCAATAGTTTATTTTATACACACTCTGCCCCCACCCCACCCACCGTGAGGTGAGGCTGGGACTTACACGTACAGAAACAGGAAAACAGATGTTTTAGGGAGGACATCTTAAGGATGCTTACATAGTACAATAATTAAGGAGCTACCTTCTTTAACACGCCCACAGGTCCAGGATGTGCAAAGGTCAGGACCCTGGATTGATCAGAGTTACTGATCAATCCAGATGTTTACAGAGTCTGGAAATATGGGTTAAAATCAGGATAGGTGTGCCTAATCGCTGACCCTTGCCCACAGACAAGTGCCCCCCCTCCACTGCTCCCGTCTCAGATCAAAAGTTGTCCTTCCTTAGCTTAATTCTTTGATTCTTCACTTTCTTCAGGAGCTGATGGACCACGGAATCTCCAGGCTAGCGAGATCTCAGCCCGCAGTGCTCGTCTTACCTGGCTACCACCCCGTGCCCCTCCTGGTGGATACCTACTGAGCTATGAAACCCCCTATGGAGAAACAAAGGTACTCCACTACCTCACTACAAGGGTATTATAATGCATTGTTTGAGAGGGTTAGCCCCGTGGGTTTGCAGTAAAACAGATAGATTCGAGGCCAGTAAGCACCGTAGAGGAGCTGCGGTGGCTCAAGTGGTTAAGACGCTGAACTGCAGGCTGTGGAAGGTCGGTAATTCAGCAGTTCGAGACCCGAGTGTGCCGCATGACGGAATGAGCTCCCATCTCTAGTTCTAGCTCCTGCCAACCTAGCAGTTCGAAAGCAAGAAATTCCAAGTAGATAAATAGGTACCACCAGGGCCGGCTCCAGGGTTTTTTGTACTCTAGGTGAGACCACCTTCTGGCACCCCCCGGCGCGCCCACCAATTATGGGGTTGCCAACCTCCAGGCAGGGCCTGGAGAGAAGGAAGTCCAGCTGCTGAGCGCACGCCACACACACACACCTCGGGAGGTGGTGGATGCTCCTGAATTCCAGGTATTTCCCAGATACAATGAAATATGAAGAGAGGGTGAGCAGTATCCTCCCAGTTCCAGCTAACCCAAGCCAGTCACTCACTGAATCAAACTGGCATCATGCTCAAACACAGACCCTTGCCAAGTATCATCACTTATAATCTCAGCCATGTATAAAATAAGCATCACCCCAAGCCTGTAAACACAAATGTATACACACCTCCAGGGACTTGGGAAAGTTATGTGTGCAGAGGGGCTGCAAGTAAGGGGGCGGATGAGAGTCAAAGATGCTGGCTGGGGCCCTCCCCTCCCCCCCCCCCTTGGTAGGAAGTGACTGGAAGGCAAGTAAGCTATGCTGCCATGGGGGGGGGGCAGATGAAAGTCAAGGATGTTTCCTTCATGTCTCTGGAATTTTGGGTTTCACTTATCGCTCTCGCTCTCTTTATCTTTTATCTCAAGCAAGTGACCTTGACGATTTGCTTTGCCTGCTCGGCTGGGAACCTGGGAACTCACAGACTTAATAATCAAGAAACTCCCAGAGTATGGTGGTTTATTTGAGCAGCATACAGAACCAGGGAAAGTGCATCATATAGTTTGGCTCTTAGCCTGAATGGTAAGCTGCATTCAGACATAATGGTAAATCACAGTTTTCTTAAAGCTCAATATCTGCAACAAACTGTGCAACAAAATCTGAAACACTATCTACAATAAACTCTTCTCAGCAAACAGTAAATCCTGGCTTGAGTCCAGTGGCACCTTTAAGATCAACATATGAGCTTTTTTGTGCACAAACACTCTTCTGGCTGGGCTGGCTAGTGGCTGGCTAGGGCTGCTGGCTGCCAGTGTCGGCGAGTGTGGTGGAAATCACGCTGGCTGGCTCAGAGGGCGGCAGGGGCGAATCAGCGATGGGCGCAGGCGCAGCAGACAGCGGACCAATGGGTGCACTGTGCGTGAGTAACTTGGGGTGGGCAGGACGGGCACACCGTCAAGCAGCATGCGCGCCACCAGTGAGCTCAGCTAGACTAGCAGGCAGGCAGTGGCTTTGGGCAGGACGGTGGTGGCTTTTGGGGGGGCGGGCGGCGGCAGGGCAGTTGGCACCCTGGACGGGCCCTGCGCCTTAGGCCAGACACTAGCTGGCCTAGTGATAGAGCCGGCCCTGGGTACCACTTCAGTGGGAAGGTAACAGCGTTCCATGCACCTTGGTGTTTAAGTCATGCCGGCCACATGACCACGGAAACGTCTTCGGACAGCGCTGGCTCTTCGGCTTTGAAACGGAGATGAGCACAACAACCCTAGAGTCGGATTCGACTGGCTTTCGAGCAAGGGAACCTTTACCTTTACCATAGAGACCAACAGGAATTTCAGGGTATGAGTTTTCCGGAGTCAGGGCTCCCTTCATCAGGAATTATGTGCTGTCACTTCAGCGTGGGAAGGAGCCCCAGTGGCTCCACTACGGGGCGTAGTGTCCTTTCGGAGAAGAGAGAGCACTGGAGCTTTGCAATATTTCTTTGACTTATATGTGAAGAGCCTACTGGAAACAAATAAGCACTCCTGCAGCGGACAACAAATCGACCGAGATTCCCAAAGAGAGTCCCTTGCTTTGCTTTGCTTCCCACCATTTCTTATTGTGATATTGGGGAGTACATGCAGCGACAATTTGATATATTATCTTTATAAATATTTTTGCATAATTGTCGCCATTTTCATAGCGATTCTTTAATGTATGCTCCCACCCTTTCAGAGCAGCTCCAGCCAATGCTCCCTCTAAGCCTTGTGAGCAAAAATTTTGCTTTGTGAGCTACCGGCATTAAAGTTGTGAGCAAGCGATTTGGTTACTACGTAAATCAGTTTGCTCTGGAGCCACTGAGAACCAGTTTGGTGTAGTGGTTAAGTGTGCGGACTCTAATCTGGGAGAACCGGGTTTGATTCCCCACTCTTCCACTTGCAGCTGCTGGATGACCTTGGGCAAGCCATAGTCCTGTCAAAGCTGTTCTTGAAAGAGCAGTTCTCTCAGAGCTCTCTCAGCCCGATCTACCTCACAGGGTGTCTGTTGTGGGGAGGGGAAGGGAAATGAGTTTGTAAGCCGCTCTGAGACTCCGAGTGAAGGGCAGGCTATAAATCCAATCTCCTCCTCCTCCACCACCTTTTCTTCTTCTTCTTCTTCCTGAGCTAAGACAAAAATGTGTGAGCCGGAGGCTAAAAAAACAGTGAGCTAGCTCACATTAACTCAGTTTAGAGGGAATCCCTGACTCCAGCTCTGTCCATCTCCCAGTTTAAACTTCAAAAGCTGGGCTGTCTCCTTCCCACTTCGCTTGAAGGGCATGTCACATTCCAAAGAGAGGGGGAGAGCGATCTCCAGCTATCAAAAGAGCATCTCTCCCCATTAGTTCCCATTCATGAAACAGTCATCCAGTCTTCCTGAACTACCAGTAGTCAAAGAAAGGATAGTCTCCCAGCATCCATAACAGTGTTTTGATGCCTGGAGATGTCAGACAGCTTTGAAGTCCCTCTCGAATGTAACGTTTATTCATCCTTGGCATGAGAACAGGGGTGTTGGAGATCACATGCTCACACATGTGCCTATTTTTATCTGAGATGTGTTGGGAGTGTATGGAAAGACTGACCACAGAACCGACCTATGCCAGGCACAAGAGGCCTCCCGGTGTCTTGCGTGAGAGGCTGTTCTGGGCTCTGCTTCAGAAGATACGGCAATTTTTGGAATTTGGTGGGATTTGGATGGGAAAAGCCAAGAGTCATAAAACTAGGGGGGTTTTTTTGTAACATTTGTCAGAAATTCAGGAAAATGCAGAGAAGTCTGGTTTTATTAAAGCAGCTTAACAATAAACAGTTATGCAGAAAGAGGCCTATCCAGATCTTCCATGGCTTCATCACCAAATTCAGTGCCATAGAAATGGCACCATAAGTAAAACCTGGGCTGGAACTGCTCCAGATCCTTGTATTTTGGAATGACTAAAAAAGGTGGAATAGACAATTGAAGATTTACAGGCCTCCTGGTTTTGCTCATGTCTAGCATTGAGGTAGGGTTGCCAGGTCTGGGTTGGGAAATACCTGGAGACTTTGGGGGTGGATCCAGGAGAGGGTGGGGTTTGGGGAGGGGAGGGGCCTCAGCATGGTACAATGCCAGAGAGTCCACCCTTCAAAGCAGCCGTTTTCTCCAGGGGAGCTGATCTCTGTCAGCTGGAGATCACTTGTAAAAGCGGGAGATCTCCAGGCCCCACCTGGAGGCTGGCAACCCTGTGCTGAGGGCCAAGGCATAAGCTCCAAATAGCCCAGTGTGGTGTCCTAAACTGGGGCTACAGAGACTCAGGTTCAAATCACCTCTTAGCCATGAAGCACTCACTGGCTTGTATCCAAAGACGCAGTTCAGAAGACTTAAGGACACCTCCCTCTTCAAAAGAGGGGACACTGATCCCCCCACCGGGAACAAGACTAGTAGGGCTGCAGTGGGGCGGGGAAGTGGGGAACTCATGTTCTGCTCCGCTTATAGATCTCATTGCATACACACTACTGTATCTCAGCCTAGCCTACCTCACGGGGTTGTTGTGAGAATAAAATGGAGGTGGGGGAACAATCTACGCCGCCCTGAGCTCCTGAGAGGAAGGGTGGGATAAAAATACAGCCACTAGTTTAGGCTGGCAAAGTTGTTGAGAAAAACTAGTTGTGATCCGGAAGCAGAGGTCATTTCGGGGGGGAACGCGGGGGAACGCAGTTCCCCCGGGTGAGGTGCAGGGGGGCGGGGCACATGACGAAGCCCCGCCCCCTGCTTCCGGCCGCCCCGCTTCCGGCCCTCATTCAGCCAGGAGGAGGCAGGAGAAGAGGGAGGGTAAGTTGCTTCCCCCCTGCCTCTCCCCACCCCTGCCTGCCTGGGGCCAGGGAGGGCCTTCGCGGGGCTTCCTCACCCTCCCGCCAGCCTTGCAGGTCCATCGCCGGGCCCCTCATGGGGCTCGGCAGTGGAGCAGCAAGGCTGGCGGTGGCGGCCGGGACCGTTGGGGGCGGGGTGTGTGGCCTTATGACACACTTCCGGTGATGTCAGGGGGTGTGGCATATGCTAATGAGTTATGCTAATGAGTTCCCCTAGCTCTTTTTCTACGAAATGACCCCTGTCCGGAAGGTCTCTGATTTGTACCTCTCACACTCGATCGGTGGCCTTCAGCAAGCCGTCCTTAGGGAAGGGCCGTGGCTCAGTGGCAGGACATCTGCTTGGCATGCGGAAGGTCTCAGGTTCAGTCCTCAATATCTCCAGTTGAAAGGACCGGGTGGTAGGTGACGTGAAAGAGACCCTGGAGAGCCGCTGCCAGTCTGAATAGACAGTATTGACCTCGATGGACCCAGGGTCTGATTCAGGATAAAGCAGCTTTATGTGTTCATGTGTCCTCTCTCTGCCTTAGTCCCCTATCTGTAATATGGGGCTAATGATACTGACATACCTTATAGTGCCCTTGTAAGGGTTGGTGGTGGAAAGGGCCATCATGTAGCAGCGGACCTGTGGTGACCCCGTAGGATTTCCAAGGCAAGAGACGAGCAGAGTTGGTTTGC